ATTGCATATACTGTAGTTATTTTGTTTAATGAAATGAATAAATTTTCTGAATTAAAAAAAAATTATATTTTATGTACCAGGTTTGAGGGTCTTGACTGCCACTGGTGTGGTCCCATTCCACAGCGCTTCGTAGACYTCACCAAACTGTCCGGCTCCCAGCTTCTTCTGTAGCTGGATGGAGGAGCGTTGAATCTCCCAGGCATCCACGGTGTTGTAGGACAGGCCGTAGGTCTGTGGGGCCTGCAACTGAATCTGTTTCACAGAAACCTCAGGTRAACGTTGTTGTGGGACTTTAAAAAACAAAAACTAAACACTGAAATCAACAGTTTGTGCTCATGTACGCTTTACCTTTTTGCACGGCTCATTCAGACGCACACAAAGACCATTGAGATGTGTGGTGTAATATCTAACTAGTTCCTGTATGGTTGAAAAGGATTTGTTCGTGGACACATAGAAGTGACCGTTGTCCAACTTCTGAATCTTGTAATGCTTCACTTTTCCTTGGTCCAACACTGGAAAACAACAAAAGCATATCTTAGCAACCCTCAGTCCAGGTCAGAGTACAAAAGCAAACAAGGAATAAAGATTTAAATGTATTACAAAGCTTTACAGGTGCAACAACCCACTAATTTATCTTAATGACTTTGTAACCATTGGACTTTGTCAGTGAACAAATCCTGGATTGATGAAACGTTTGTGTCAGAGCACACACAGGAGATTAAGAACCTTTCAGGGAAAAATTTAATCTGAAACAACTTCTTAAATGTCCTGCTGGGCTACCTGAGCAGCAGCGTGCTGGTTACAGATAATTATTCAGTTTGGAAACATTTAAACCATTAGGCCACATGTGGCAAACACAAGGCCCACGGGCCAAATGTGGCCTGCGAGTGACTCCCGTGTGGCCCGCCAGGGGGTATCCCCCCAATTTATTATTATTTTTTTACTTAACATGAAATTTGTTTTATATCAATGGTAAACTTTAAATTATGGTTAAATGCAACAAAACTAATTTAATAAAAATAAATGAAATAAAAATTGAAGTAACTGAGCAGTTTAGTTGGATAGCACAGTACTAATGTCTGAAAATAAACTGCTTTAAAGTCAAACAAACTAAATCTGCTATAATGCAGCTACTCACTAGAAACTCAAGTGAGTAAAACTTTGTTTTACTTTCAATAACATTACTGTATTTATAGATTTAGTCAGTCATACACTTGGTTCTTATCAGTGTTTAAAAGAGGACGTGTTAAACATGAAACATCAAAGTTCATTACAAGTGGCCCTTCGAGGGCCAACGTAACGCTCATGCGGCCCTTRGTGAAAATGAGTTTAACACCCCTGCCTTGGGCTGAAGCACTTCTGAGGAAATGACAGAAACTTTGGCTTTTTTTTGCCTGAAGGTGAAACAAACTGCATTTACCTGAAAGAGACAGCTCTCCTTTCTGAGATTCTGAGTTTCTGATGAGGAAAGCGCCGTGTGCATTCCCATCAGCCAGCAGCATCTTCTCTGCATCCTGCCTCTTGGTGTCTGGAAAGTACCACCTGCAGGACACACACACAGACACACAGACACACAGACACACACACAAAGTTAGAACTAGAATCATACACACAGCTCTAACAGTAACCACGGGATGCACACAGAAATGTTGCTTTTGATTTGATTTATTTGATTTAACAGGAAAAGTTTATTAAAAATCAAGCCTGACTCAGCATAATTGCTGTTTTACAGCAGGTTCCTGTTCTGCAGCACA